AGGGAGTCACAAAAGGGCAATGTTCACTTTTGTTGGTCATCACTATTCACTACGTCTTATGGTATTTTGAGAGAGAGAGTCAAAGGGTTCCCAGAATTGGGTTCACAAGTGTAGGGTCGGTATGTTATCTCCATATACTGGACATGCAGTCCACGCCCTTTCTCTCTCCAGCATTCATACCAAACACATTACTCACAAAACATAACACTATTTTTCAATAATTTTAAATTTTAATTAAAAGTGTATTTAAGTTTAAAAGAGTGTTGGCCACCTAACCCCCACCCCTCCCACTTCTATCATTAACTACTTTGGGCCTAACATTACATTAAATGGATACCAAAGTGGAAATGTGTGGTCCAAGCAGTGAATGCTTTGTTGGCCTATTGGCTAACATAATATCGCCCGTAGTGTGCGGTCTATGCGATCGAGTGGCCAAAGAGCCCATACATAGCCCGAGTTGTGGTAAAGTGTTTTGCGCCGACTGTACGGCAAATGATTCAATCGATGGCATCACTGGTTTGGCCCACAATATGGATGTCTGCGCCCGTAATCCGACGATCTATTGCGCCGATTGTGGCCACCGGTTGGCCATCAGAGGACACGACTGCGTCCACAGATTGAAGGCTAGAGTGGAGTCACTGACAGAATATTGTGAAAAACTGTTGGGAGCCGAGAGACTGGTCACCTCATCACCCATACTGTCCACGGCATCCACTGATGTGACCACTGATGACCGCCGTTTGGTAACCATTTTTGTATTTATAACTTATATTTTTGATATTAAATATATATTATATTTCTTTCAATTCCTAGAGTGCAAGGGAAAGGAAAATTTTGGCCGATTTGCTATTTTGCTTGATGCTTATCATGATAGTTGTTATGGGCTTTGCTTTATACCATCTTGGACCAGTTTGTGGTTAATTAAGTTCGTGATTAATCATAATGTGCAACAATAATTAATACGATTATGATTTTTAATTACAAGTATCTCAATATATTTTTGCCGTAATAATAATGTAAATGTTTTTACTGAATATTTATTACTTTACATTATATTGGTTTTAAAATAAAAAATTAAAACAAAATAAAAATTGCCTGTTTTTGTTAATTGTGTATAAATATGCAAAAATAATGTCTATAATTGGTATTTAATTTATGTGTTTAACTGTTAGTTAAAGGATTGATAGGTTGTGTGGAAATATACAGTCGACACACAGACACAGACTGTGTTATCATAACAAACATTTTGCCCATACATTTGCATTGAGTTTTCGTATTCAACAATGAAATATTGTCGATAAACAAAACTAAACCTTTACTAAACACACTATGCGTTCAATTTAAACAAACTTTCTATTTATAATCGCATAGCAATTATCAATTTAGTGTTGCAAAAGTGTTTTACAAATATAGATAGCATTTAATTAATGGCGAAAACGCTGTGAATATTGTATTTATTAAACACAATAACTGTTTTTATGTTCAATTTTTATGCATATATTCAGTAGTTTTAAATTATCTGGATTTTAATTAAATAGTTTTAGTTTTTATAAGTAATTAATTAAATATAAGGCACATTCAATGCCGGGTTACGACAAACAGCGATTTGTGGACATTTCCATTGAAGATCTCAATGAATTCATGTGCGGTATTTGTATGGATGTGTTTGAGAGCCCAGTGTTCAGCCCCTGCTGTCGACAGACCTATTGCAAGGACTGTATCACCGGTTGGCTGAAGAACCAGAAAACCTGTCCCAACGACCGGAAACCTCTGACAGTGAATCTGTTGTCTTCGCCGCCGCGAGTGTTAACTAATTTGATGAACAAATTGAGAATTAGATGCGATTTCCAGGACAAAGGCTGTCAGGAAGTGGTCCGACTGTCCGACCTGTCGGCCCACACGGACTCGTGTTATTGCAATCCCAACCGAAAGTGTACGGACTGTGCCCTACCGGTGGGCGTCGGACATAACTGTTTGGCAAATATGAAGTTAACCATTGAGTCGATCACCGATGAGATGAAGCGTTTGAAGCGCGAGAACACTCAACTCAAGACTGAGTCCGACCGATACAAACGCACCCAAAATAATACGGCAAATGTTTGTATTATTTTATAATTTTGCATTAATTTAGTTATAAATTTGTTTAATATGTGTTAACAATGTGTTAATCAAGGGGTGGGGGCTATTGAAAGGGTTATAATGTTATAACTATTGGAGACTGTTTATGAAATAACAAGGGTTTAAAGTTTATGCATATCTGATTAGCTATTTTACATATACTGTCGGCGTATTTATTATACTGTGTTATAATCTGTTAATCAAATATATAATATCACATAAATACTGATATATTAATAAGTTATAGTAAAAGTGTTGTATAATTTACAACGTTATAAATTAATAATAAGACAAACTGAATTATGGAGAAAGTAAAATGATTACGTGTTTTATATATGGACAGGTGGGCCGGGAGGACAAGACTCTGCGTATAGTGAACTCGCGTATGAATGAAACGATGAAAGAGTTCGCCATAAACGTGGCCAACGAAGCCCACGACCGGTACCGCAGCGAACCCGAGGGCCGGCTCTCGACGTTTGTCCGCAACGAGTTTGAGAAGAAGTACAAAAGTTTGTGGAACTGTTTGGTGAGCTCTTCCATCAATTGGGGCACTTCTATACACCACTTCGAGAACCATTACATCTATTTCAAGATCGGTCTCTTCCACTTCATGATATGGGAGTCATCAAAATGATCATGGTCATCATGTTGGTGGTGATCATTATGCTCAATTACTGTTTGTTGTTTTGTGTGTGTGTTTGTCAACATTTGATTATCATTGGGTGACTACCGATGATGGTTATCACCAATGGTTAGGATTTTAATAACCCGTTTCGGTGCAAATGTTTCATAATTTAGTTATAAAATTGTGGTTTTTATGTATTTTAATGATTGAGTGATTTTATTAAATGATGTTTTTATGTGATGTGTTCACAAATTTTATTTTCTACATTTTGTATGTTTACTTATTATTGTCTACCAATTGATTGTTTTAATGAAATCTGTTTTTAACGTCATTATGAAAGTGAAATTCTAGTTTTGTTTTGCATAAACTGTTAGTTTAATAGTCATACCAATGCAATTGCTTTAAATTGTTTAGTTCTAGGTATTTAAAAATGTCAATAAATATACAATTATATTGCAATCACAATGAATTCAATTGATTTCAGGGTTTAATGATAAATAAAATACATATTCATATCACGAGTTATTACACAACTGATAAAATTTGATTATAATTAATACATTATTTTTTACTGAATATATCAAGTGATGTAAAACTTATGATCTATTGTTTTAAATATAAATCATAACTTCCTTTGCAAGTGATATGAATGTGTTATATAAGTTTATTTAACAGTTTTGAGAATCTCTCTCTCTCTCTCTCTCTCTCTCTCTCTCTTTCTTTCTCAAATGTCATCAAATTTTAAATTAATTATAATTTATATTTTATTTAGCATTAAATATGAATTTATTAAAGATTTATAAGTATTTTCACTAAAGTTCTTATGATATAATCATATAATACTTAAACCCGAGAAAAGGCATTGAAATCATTATCCATTCAATAATGGCATCAGAAATGTACTCACATTTCAGTGAATATAAAAATTTGAAATTTATTTCTCAAAAATAAGACATTAATTCACTAACACTTTTGTGACTAAATTAATCGGCATATTATGCAAAGATCATCATGATAAATTATATTTTTCATCATTTCTCAAATTACAAATATAATTTAATGCCTTAAAAATTCAGAATCTTAAATTTTATATTGCATTTTTAATATTAATATTTTGTATTTGAATTTGCATATATTTTGACTCATAATCAAAAGTTTTGATTCAAAACCTTTACTTAATTTTCATTGAAATAAACAACACATTGATTTATAATTAAACACAATTACAATTGAAAACAATTATAATTAAAAACAATTACAATTAAAAACCATTACAATTAAAAACAATTATAATTAAAAACAATTACTATTAAAAACCATTACAATTAAAAACAATTATAATTAATTACTTTAATTTATTAAAATCGGATTTCATATTAAAAGCATGTGTTTTATAACTTATCCTATTGTAAGGTATAAATTAATCAACAATTGAATTAAATACAAATATTAACCGCAAAATGATCTCAATAAATAATCGGGTGGTTTCGTGGTCTCGATTGGCCACTATATGTCATATATCGGTTGCCGTGGGATCCGAAGACACGATTAATGATCAATTGATAGACAATCTTAAGAGTAATATATTGTTATTATTATATTTTCTAAACAATTAATTGTTACCAACATTTCCAGAGGAAGATATAATCACTTGTGGTAAAGTGAAGCGAGTGATGAGTGCCGTAGACCAGGATAACAATTGCAATTCACCTTACCTTGAATTCAGCTCAATGGATTTGAAATTGATCATGGCAATTCTGTAATTGGTGTTTTTGGTGTTTCTCAAATATTTATTATAACTTAAAATAATATAATAATAGTTTTATCTAAAAAATACCATTTATTTTAGAATTTTTAACTATTCTGAAAAGTAAATCAACATTTTTTATTAAAACAAAATACTACATTTGACTCTCAGAAAATTTTATTGTAAACTAAATAATGTTACCATATTATTACTTTTATATTATTTTTTAAATGTTTATAATTTCAATGAATTACAACAAACGAAAAAGTTTTTTCAATTGAAATAGTTTGTTTTTTCAAAAACATATTTCATTTCTATGCTGTAATTAGATTTCATATGAAAAGCATATGGTTTAATGAAATGTCGGTAAAATCTATGACAACCCCAAACCAATAGGATATAAATTTTAATTGATTTATATTGATATAAATTGTTTGATATAAATAGAGAGCACCGGGCGCTCGGGTTATGGGTGCAAAATAGGCCCCACATATAAGATATACACCAAATAGTAGTTTATATATGAAATAAAAGTATTTATAAACGAAATGTACATTTTTGGGTGCTCTTCAACAGGTGTACATCAAAGCATATTTACCGACATTATATACAGTGTGTATATTTAGTATATTATCTTTATGTGTGTTTCAAATATATATCGACTATTAATGTTAAATAAAAATAGGTTTTTTGTACACTATTCGCGAGTTATATGATGTTATATGCGGTGTGTTTTAACGTGTATTTAAATGGTTTAATAGTTGTGACCGAAAAATATATATTGCTTTCAATGGTTTAACGATGGGTTTGGCGTATAGTATAGTCCCACCGATCATAGACTCAATTCAATAGACATTTTTAAGGCCAGGTATTAATTATATAATAATTGAGAAAAATAGGCTTATTTTTAATGCATTTGCTTTTTATGTGTTATGCGATTAAAAATTATTAATTTCAATTCGTTTTGATTAAAAGCATTTTTGAAAAGTTTTTGCTTTTAATTGGATATTAGGCTAAATTATATTAATTATTAGATTTATGGTTATTAGCAAAATAGGTTAATAAGTCATGTTCATTAACACAGAGGCCCAAATTTATACCATGTTTGTAAATTATAAATAACTTTTAATTTATCAAAATGTAGTTTGTATTTAGAAAGCGAGAGTTTGTTTAAGTATTTTGAGATATTTCACTGTTTTGTTAACAATTTATATATAAATTTATTTATTATTTGTATTTTAATTTAAATCTAAAAAATTAATTGAATAATACATTATTCTTAACATTAGTTTCACAACAAATAGTTTTCAAAAATCCTTATTTAGGTAATCAGGAGACGAATATTAATCCACAGACAAATCTCTCTCTCTCTCTCTCTCTCTCTCTCTCTCTCTCTCAGACCAAAACTCACGCAAAAGAGATTAAAGAGAGAGAGAGAGAGAGAGA